TTTTCGTAAAATAAATAATAAAAAAGTTTTCCATTTGTTATCAACTTACATAGACCTACTGTGTGTATGCAACTTATGACATATTGCTGAGATAATGTTTTTGTAAGAAAAAAGAAATTAATCATAAAATTTTACTTCATTTGTAGAGTCGTAATTTATGTTTTCATATTTCTACTTTTTTTGTCAATTTAGAATTCCAGTACTATTTTCAATTATAAATAAAAATTACGTATTTTCGATTAATCAATAAGAAAAATAAGCATTTTTGAAATATTAATAACTAAATACAAATTAAACAACAAATTAATAAAAAAGCATTTAAAACACGTTGACTGCCGAAGCAAATGTTGTGGTTGGGTCTTAGTAAACTACAATATCTAATAGACGCATGAATAAAATATATAAACGCGGCGCGAGATTAAATTATTACAAACCTAGGTCGCGTGCATATATTGTGAATAATATATTCAGGTTGTCCCATTAGTGCGTAATTGTTCAATATTTTAATTTGTGTTGTAAACACGTAAACAATTACTAAATAAAAGTTATATGCATTTTAAAAATAGGTATTTTAAAGATATTTTTAGAGACATACAGGGTTTTGCGTTTTTGTCTGACAAATAAAACGGTATATTTTTTAAAAAGAAATCCCTGTATTTTACTTCAGTTTTTGAATGCTTTGGTAATGCTGTATTTAACCCTAGAATTTTATTAACAAATATTGCAGGGTTGCCAATAAATTAATTTTTTTATGAAATTAGAGAATGATTCAGACCCCAAATTAAATTATCATTATTTAGGTAGGTTTAAAATAATTTCAATTTTTTTTTAAATGTAGTAATAAGATAGTAAGCTAACGAATAGTGGTAATAGAACTGGATTATTTTGTACAGTGTGTTTTGAAAAACAAGTCTTAAATATGGCTAATTCCAAGTTAAATTTATTTAATTTTTTTCAAATGCCACACCCTGTATATTATTTAAGCATTCAATTCCTTATAAATTAACATATCCAACGATATCAATAACACATATACAGGGTATCCCATGAGTGCGTAATTGATCGATAGCAGTTTTATAATAGGAAATACGAAAAAATTAATATAAAAGTTGTATAACCATAATTAACAATTATTTATAAATATACAGGATAATCCATAAACGATTGTCTGACCAAACCTATACATTTTTAAAGTAAAACACCCTGCAGGTGCATATTTGACTGTTTTCACATCGTTTCAATAATTTCAATTTCATTCATTTGCTATGTTGTATATAGGATGTGTGAAAATGGTCACGATTTTCTTAATTTTCTAAATGGAACACCTTGTATGTTATGCCACCAATTAATATAATATTCCATTGAAAAAAATTTAAGCATTTGTAACCTCGCGTGTTGACACACTCTATATAAAACATAGCAAATGAATAAAGTCAATTAAAATTATTTGACGACGTGAAAACAATCAAATATGTATAACTACCTGCAGGGTGTTTTGATTTAAAAAAGTATAGGTTTGGTCAACATCTCGTTTATGGACCACCCTGTATATATAGGAATAATTTTTAATATGGTCATATAACTTTTATATTATTTTTTTTTTTCTTATTTCTAATAATAAAACAGCTATCGATCAATTACGCACTGATGAGACACTCTTTATATATGTTATTCTCTAACATGTTATTGGTATCGTTGGATATGCAAATTTATAAGGAATTGTATGCTAAAATATTATATCAAATGCTGCCTTTGAAAAATTGAGTAATTTGACTTAAAAGTAACCATTTTAAGACATGTTTCAAAACACTCGCTATAAAAGAATCCAGCACTATCACTACTATTCGTTATCTTAATGTGCTATAAGTCAGTATATTAAACAATTTTGAATTATGATAATTTAATTTAGGGTCTGCATTATTTTCTAATTTTATAAAAATTTAATTGCTTGGCAGACCTGTAATATTTTTTTAAATTATTCTAAGGTTGAATACAGTATTACCGAACCATTCTAAAATTGAAATAAAATACATGTTCTATTTTAAAAATATACCAAGCAAAAATGTAGCACCCTGTATATATCTAAAAATATTTTTAAAATATGTATTTTTTAAATCCATATAACTTTTTTTTGAAACATGTTTGCGTGTCTTTAACATAAATTAAAATATTGAACAATTACGCACTAATAGGACATACACATGGGTACATACACATAGCAGTCAACGTGTTAACTCAGAAATAAGATTCCTTATAAAGATAAAATAACATTCAGGAGAAAAAAGCAAAGACCGCCAATATTACGTGCGTATCATACAATGATGCCAGGTCATTCGGATTTAATTTACATCGGAATGCAATAAAGTTCCTTCCCTTTCCTGCATTTCACTATTGTATATTTCACCCACTTTAAAATCAAATTCGTCCTAGAAAGAATTGTGAAATTATCGTATAAATCGATAATCTGGCAACGTGGTCAACACATGTTCATACACAGGCAAAATCAATCGATAATTTGGAACCAAACGAGACAAATATATATGAAAATCACGAAACAATAAAAGACGGCATACACCTGTATCACTGTTTCAAAAATTGGTACCTCTAAACAATCATTTACCTATTAAAACCATCTCTAAAGTAGAATAGCTATACTGTTTTTTACGGTGACATCTTCTTAAAAATAGATGAACTACATGAACTGTACACAATTACAGGAATTCATAGAAAATCTCTAATTTTGACAAATAAATTTATCAAATATTTGTTAATCGTATTTCCAGTTAGATTTGAAAAATACGCAATAAAATTTAGAAATATTTTGGCGGGATACTTGGAAAAATATGTAGAATGAAATCTCCTACTTTTTAGCCTCTGGTTTTAAAATCACTTTTTATGATTTTTTTTTTAAATTCAGTGTATAAACAGGACAAATAAAAAATAGGAGATTTCATTCTCCAAACCTTATACTTTAAGCTGGTAGAAGATTCATTTTAATACATTTAGCGGGATTTAAATGCAATCGGAAATGGTAAACCCTTGCTTCTTAAATGAAAAATACAGTGATACTGTGGCCTTAATGCAAAATAAAATATAACCCAGTGCTGAAATGATATCTGGCCCTGAGGGTAGACAATTACATTTAGTTGGTATAATTAAAGTAAAGAGAAAACCTCCGTGTTTGAAATATATGTATTAAAAGGGCTAAACGCTGCTATTTTAGTTAGGCCAGGAATTATTGAGCTAGGGGTTTTAAAAAAGGTACATTTGGTCAAGTCATCATAGTCAGTTTAAAAGTTTTTGAAGAATATCCTAAGTTTTTGAGAATTTAGGAGTATTTAAAGAGGAAATAGAAATTAAATTAATTCCAAATGCAAAACCGCTTATACAAGCAGCACCTAGGATAGTCCCACTACCTTTGCTAGGGTCATTAAAAGTAGAATTAGATAGGCTATTAGAAAGTAAAATAATTAAATGCATAGAGGAGCCTACAGAATGAGTGCCATCTATAGTAGTGGTTTGCAAAACTAATATTGAGGTTAGAACATGTGGGGATTAATTTAAATAAAAGCTTGTTGAGATCACATTTCCCAATACCAAAAGTAGAATTTACTTTAGCACAGTTAAACGGATCTTGCATTTTTTCAAAATTGTATACAAATTCGGGTTTTTATCAAATCAAATTGAGTAGCCAACCATTGACTACTTTCGTAACACCCTTTGGAAGATTCATGTGCACCGGTTGCCATTTGGGATACAGTACGCCCCTGAATACTTTAGCTCCAAATTTTTTAAAATATTTTTCGGGATGAAGGGAGTAGTAGTCCAAATGGATGATATTTTTGTACAAGCAGGAAGTATGGAACAGCATGACAATATTCTGAAAGAAGTTCTGACTAGACTTCAAATGGAGAGCATAACATTAAATAAAAGTAAATGTTTGTTCGGGGTTCACAAGGTTAAGTGTTTGGGACATGTTATTTCAGAACAAGGGGTAGGAATAGACTCATCTCGAGTTGAAATAATAGAAAAGTTCCTAGAACATACTTGTAAAAACAGTCAAAAGCAATGTAGTTTAAACAAAATATTTAATATTCGGAGGTACAAAAAGTTATGAAGCTTTAGCTGAAGTACTGCTGGTGGCGCTCTCAGCAAAAAATAATAAATTTGACACCCAGTATTTTGGAAATAATCAACTTGTTGATCAATAAGGTAAATAGGATTGGACCTTCATATTTTAGGTTGAAGAATTAGTACTGGTCAAATTTATTGGACCAGTCCTAAGCCTGAATAAAGTGTTCCCCTACTAAATATAACTTTTTTGGACAAATGATGTCAAAGAGTCATAATTTTTAATTAGAAATTCAATATAGGCCGAGGCACAAAAAAGTTATAAAGCTTTAGATGTAGGCAAAGTGCATCTAGTAGCATCCTCTGCAGTGTACCCCAAAACTGTATTCAGATTTTAATTTCTTATCCTAAAAAATCCCAGTTACCAAAATTTCGTGGAAATCATGCTAGTATTTAGATAAATATTTAAAAAAAAGTATTAAACAATTACAACTTTAACACCGTGTAATTTGGAAACTCTCAACTTTTTGACTAAGGTAAATTAGATTAGAGTCTCATAATTTAAAATAATAAATTTGTCACAGGGTCCTTGGACATACCTTTCAGGGACTATTGTATACAGTACTTCAATTTGTAGTTTCATAATTATAGAATTGGTGACACAGAAACAGAAAACTGTGATAATTATAATTATATTCATTAGGGCAACTATATAAATATATAAATAAATAATATCTTCGAAATTTTAAATGCATAAATGATTTTCTTGATAAGCTACTTATGATTAGGGCTTGGAAAATATGTACTTAAAAATGGTTTAAATATGTATGCATTTATGCGTTAACAATAGACAAAATATGCTTTTAAATATGCAAAATAAAAAGAGTCATTTTTGATATTTAAATTTTATTATAGACTTTTTAAACCTATGATTAGATGATTTTACATTTCTATCAATTATATCTAATTATTAATATTAGAATAAAACCAGTAAGTTATTTAATATTTTTCAATGTTTTCAATAGTGAAACATTGCCTTCTATCACTTAAAATACGTTTGTACATCGAAAATGAACATTTCACTTCACAAGACGTTACAGGTGCATATTTAAATTTTGAAATTAAAAGTGGTGAAATATTTTAATCCAATTCATTATTAAAGTTGCCAGATAAAACATTATTTATGCCCTCTAATGTCTGGAATCCTTTATTATTTAGTAAAACTGATGTAAATTTTCGTGTAACATTATTTTCCATTAACACAGACTGTTCAATAAAAGATTTTAAATTTTTAACTGTTTTTATGCTTTCAAATAATGCCATACGTCGAGATTCAAGCTAAGTTATGGTTGTGGCTATGCATGTATAATTTGCTTGAATGTGAACAATATGGGTGTAAACTATAAGATCGTTAAAAATATCGATGAATATTTTAATTGCAATTGCAAAGTCGCAGATGACATCTTTAATTTCGTTAAAATTTGTCGCAATAAAAGTAACACAGTTTAACTAAGTGCCCCATCTTGTTAAAACTGGTTCTGGTGGCAATGAAATTCCTGGCAAACGATCCTTATAAAATTGAACCCGAAGAGAAGCTTTTACAAAAACCTTTTTAATATTTTTAATTAAATCATATACGAGTGGAAATTAATTCCTAACCGTCTCAGCAACCCTATTAAACCATGTGCTAAGCATGTGCAATGGATTAAATTCGTATAAAATATTTTTTGGTTTCCAGCTGCTTTTACCATGTATGCAGCAGCATCAGTGACCATTAATAAAATATTGTTTGTAGGCACTTGTTTAGGTAAATAAAAATTTGTTAACGAATCGTTAATAAATCTATTTTTATCTAATGCTCCTATTATAAAATTTGCAATATAGCGCCCCCTTCGTATCAGTTGATTCATCAACTGAAAAACACACAGGTTTATCGTTAATTTCATTTCTTATAAAATTCAATGCATTATCAAAATTAACTTGAACATATTTTTTGCGCAAAACGGAAGAACTGGGTAAATTATCTTCCTTAAACTTAGTTTTAAAAAAATTTCTAAACAGAGGATTATCCAATTTGTGAATTGGAATATTACAAGTTACAAATAAATTGCACAAATCTCTATTAAAATTGTCCTGATGATAAGTAGTGGTTCATTGGTTTGTTATTAATTGTTGAATCAATCGATTTGGAAGTTGTTTTCCGGATAAGTGACTTGTTGTTCCTAAATGTTGATCCACTTGAAATTTTTAATACAGAAAAATCTGCAAAAAGAGATCGTCAAATATAAAAGAATTTTTAAATCCAAAAATACGTGAATTTTTATGTATAAAAATAAAATCTAGATGATTTTCAAAAAATCTGGGTGGTAGAAAGAAGCTTTTGAGTAAAAATAAAAAAAACACTTCCTTATTTAAAAAAAAAGAAAAACTATTATATTGTTGATTTTTTTAAAAATTAGATGAAATCCGAATAAATAATTTAGTATAGCTTTTATATTATATCTTGATTTTATTATTTTTACTTCTAAAATAGGATTCAGCTGGCTTTGAAAAAAGTTAATAGTGTGAAAAATACAACAAACCCGTTAGTTATCCTTACCAGTTTATCGCAGGTGGAGCAAAAACGTGATTAGAGTCTACGATTCTCAAATCACTTTTTCCATAGATCCATTTCTTCATCATTTGCATTTTTCCCGTAGCTTGTTTCGGCATTTTTAAAATGAACGCTTTTCCTTTCATACTAACGCAACTTTTGAAGGAACACAACCAATAACAATACTTAACCAAAAGATATTTTGAATAATACTGAATGAACTATGCGAATGAAATTTTATGAAACCATTTGCTAACAATCATCCCCTTATTGCCCTAATCCTTAATACCTAGTAGTTTAGAAAGCAAAATACTCACTTGGTTATTATTTCATGATAAAATGCAGGTACAATTAAAAAATATTGTAATGTTTACAAAATAATGATAAATACGAGGATGTATCAGAAAATAACGAGACTGGTGCTATAGTATAACAACTAAACATTTATTTAAAAAAATTCAACAACTATCCTTCGAAGTACTCTCCATTCTGTTGAATACACTTATCCCATCGCTTTATCCACTTATCATAAACTTCTGAGACCCCATTTTTTGATAGTCTGTTTAGTATACCCATCACAGCGTTGTTGAGCTCTAAATCCGACTCAAATCTTCTACCTCTCAATTCTTTTTTGACTTCAGGAAACAAATGGAAGTCACATGGAGCAAGGTCAAGAGAGTAGGGGGGATGAACCATAATTTCAACCCCTAATTCTTCAATTGTTCGTGGACAAATCATTGATCTATGAGCCGGAGCATTGTCGTGATGCAGCGTCCAGCCAAAGTCCTGATAAAGCGGCCTTTTTTTCTTTAATTTTGCCTTTAAGGGTCCTCGAAGTACACTAGAATAGTACTCCCCTGTTACTGTATGTTCTCTAGGTACAATGTGATCGTAAATAACGCCAAATTTATCAAAAAAAATCGGGTGCATCACTTTACCAGCGCTTTTAGCAGTTTTGGCCTTCTGCGGTCTTGGGCTGCCTTTATGCTTCCATTGCATACTTTGAGACTTCAATTCAGGATCGTAATGATAAAACCAACTTTCGTCACATGTAACCACATTATTTAAAAACTGTGGGTTACGTTGCAATTGCCTTTTCCACTGCTGACAAATTGTCACTCGATTCGCTTTTTGTTCATCGGTCATCACTTTTGGAATCCATCTTGCCGCGATCTTCCGGTACTCTAAATCTTCATGAATAATTTTTTGAGTGGTATCGTAAGACAAATTAACATTGTCAGAAATTCGTTTTATGCCAATCCGGAGATCATTTTGTATCAAGTCGTTAATTTCTGCAATTTTTGTGTCATTTCTCGCAGTTTGTGGTCGACCGGGACGAGGTTCATCTTCAACTGATTCACAACCGTCTTTAAACTTTTTATGCCACTCAAACACTCTACATCGTGATAAACTATTATCTAGATATGTACCTTTAATCATTTCAAAATTTCAGTTGGTGTTTTACCCAATCGAACACAAAATTTTATCGCGTATCTTTGCTACACTTTCATTTTTCGATGGGTACGCAAAACACTGACAATTCAATAATTAATTTGTAGCAAATGTCAAAAGTTAAATCAAAGCCTACTTGCGGGGTAGTACATTAAATATAAGGCTTTCATGTCTCATTTTTGGGTTATAAAATGTTACCTCTGAAAGAAGTTATAGCACCAGTCTCGTTATATACTGATATATCCTCGTATGTAATATTTTATTTTTAGATATGCATTACTATTTAAGATATGCATTATTATTTTAGATATGCAATATAAAATTCTGCACTAAATATGCAGGTATGCACTTTATATGCATTTTGCATATAATCCAAGCCCTACTTATGATATACAATTATTTAATATTAAATATTGTAAAGGACATGCAAATTACGACTATTATATCCAAATATTATAAAATCAAAAGATTGTTATTCATAGAACTTACAAAAATTTCATATCACTAAAAAATATACTACCATTGGAACTTAAATATGACTTTTTACATTTTAATTATTTATTAAAATTAGTTGTAAAATAACGAGAAATAACATTCAATATTCCTTATCAATCCCTATTAACTTTGAAAAATAATTTGAACTTTATTACCTTTTATCCATAACTATAAAATATAGTCAGAATTCGTAGAAATAATTCATAATATACACAGAAAAAAAATTCTTACCGTGGCATTAAGAAGATTTTACCGTGACAGTAATACAAGATTTACTAATATTTAGATTATTAAGAATTTGTTTGACTGCGGCAGTAAAACTATCAGGGGCGTGCGGACCATGGAAGCGGGGGAAGCACCGATTCCCTACATTTAAAAATAAATATATTTCAGTTTACAATGCATAGACATTAATATTAAATTAGGTACTATATTTTCTCTGAAACATTACGTAAACTTCATAAATGTACTTACAATTCATTGGTGTAATGTGTAAACGCACGCACCACCTATAAGAAAATTAATTGTGTAAACGCAAACACCATACTTCGAGTCCGTCGGCGGAAGCGCGTCTTGAAAAAGCCGGCTCATCTTCCAATTGCTTCGTGTTATTGACCCTGCTTTGCAGCGACAGTAGTCAGTCTGTTTGGACACGTCAAATACGGTCGAGAGGCAGCGATTTTTACGTCGCCTTACACATATTGCAATTCGCACCGCGAACGACGTGTAACGAAAATCGTAGACTTCAGATAGATTTCGGTTTGTTTTTCGTAGTTGTTTTTCTTTTTGTAAAATGTGAACAATAATAATGTGGTAAATTGTGTCTGTTTTGTGTGCTCTTTATTGGAAAAAGGATATTTAAGTAGAAATTTTAAAGAAAAACGGACATTATTAATTCTAGTAGACTAAAGGATCCTATCAATTTAGAGACGAAAGTAGAAAAGTCAGCAAAGAAATTGATCAGGCATTTTCACGTAGGATTCTATGAAATGTATGAATGGTTTGAAGAAATTGTTTTGCTGGCCTTGCCTACTTTTTAATATAGTCAAAAAATCACATTGGAACTTAGTCGGTATTACAGACTTGAATAATTTTCACAAAAGTGTAAAACGACATGTAAATAGCAAATCTTATATAAGTGCTACAAAGAAAAAACATTCGGGACCTATCGCATTGAACATAGTTTGGATTAAAATTTGATTACAATTTGATTAAACTAAGAAATTCAGGTTTTCTTATCAAAACGCACGTGTATGTTATGAGATCTCATTACGTGCATGTTATTGTTAAATGTCAATTACAAGAAATTATGACAGTGCGATTTTTAACGCTTACTGACATGGGCATAGAAAAAATTGTTAACTACCATCAATATCTAGGATTACCATACGTAACGTCCAGTTGTACTGCCGCAGCAATACTGTCTTACTGCTTTGGTAAAGCTGTTCTAATGCTGCAGTAGTAATTTCTTACCACTCTAGTAAAACTGTTTCACTGTTACAGTAATAATATCTTACCACTCTAGTAAAACTGCTGTACTGTAACAGTAATATTATTTTACTACTACCTACAGTAAAACGGTATTACAGTTACAGTAATAATGTCTTACCAATTTAGCAAAACTGTTTCACTGTTACAGTAATAATATTTTGCCACTATAGTAAAATAGTTGTACAATTACAGTAACAGTATGTTAGTACTACAATAAAACGGATTTACTGTTACAGTAATAACGTCTTACTATCACGGTTAAAATTTTTACCAAAATATAATTCATATTAAAGGCTAAAATAGGTATAACAAAGGTAAATATTTTTCTAACGAACTTGAAAAATAAACTCTTATCTTTCGCTTCATAGAAAAATATTTACACTAAATGAAATCAATTTCAGCTAAATAAATCGATTTGCTTAATTTATTCCTGTGGAAAATCTTCGGTTCATAAAAGGATTGAAAAAATAAAAAAATTGTTTATTTTGAAACCAGCATAGAAGGTATAAAATACAAATTACAATTGAATCTTTCCATGCTAAACGGGCGTATTTCCATAAAATTAGCATTTGATTTACGCTTCTATCATTCTAAGCTAAACGGACGTATTCTTCGTAAAAATAGCATTGGACTTACGCCCCTTTAACATAAAACGATTCAATTTAAAATGGAAAATTCACTTAGAGCTAAAATGTTACAATTTTTTTTAAGATACAACAAGAAACATTTTTTAGGGTGTGGTCGGTTTATTTTTAATCCAAAGCTCCAGGAACGGAAGTTTACTCGAAAACCATTCGAGAAATAAATGTCAAATTTTGATAATAAAAGAATGGTATCTTCTTTGGTAATAGAAAATTCCTAAAATTGGACCCATTTTTGAAATAAGATGCCTTATGCTTTCTTCATCTAATAATTGAAAGGAATTATCATCAATGCCCTCATCTAAAAATAAAAACTTTCTTGTTGAGCTGGTTTTACAGATGCGAATTGGGAAACGTTCTGATTTGACCATTTCAAAGCACGTTTAAATACT